CCACCTTCCTAAATTTTCAAGTTGAGAGACTCGTTACTTTATTCCCGTTTTAATTTGAATGTAAATCTCACTTTACTCCATCTTGGAGCATGAAATTTCCGTTATTATTGTTTAATACACCGTTCTCAATGCATAAAAATGGGTATTGCCATTCTATGGCTTGGAATATTTATTCTTTGTGGCAGCAACAATTATTATGAATATTATTAAGATTAATAATAATAGCGTTATATAAATTAAACAATGCATGTGGACTTGGAAAATGGGTGGGAGAGAAAAGCACGTGATGTGAATCCTACCAGCTTGCAGCACCTTCAATATGATAGCGCTTGTGCTACTCCTCACTACTTGGTGGATAACTTCTATACCATTTTAATGCCATTTGTAAAGGACTCCGATATATTTATTGGTATTCAGTACTAGCTTTGTCGATTATTGGTAGCACGCTTTTCTGTGAGATTATGATGGTTGTGGTCTCGCTGGGTTCAGGAGATGTTTGGGAAAGCTGAAAAATACTTTTAAAAAATATTTTTTTTAAACAAGACAAATTTTTTTATGTATTTACATGAAAAAATATTTTTGAAACGGTTTGGTTTCCAAACACCTCCTTAGTTGTTTTCTCTCACAGGAGTAGTGATGAACACGGATCTCTTTGACTCGTGAGAGAAATCTGCAACTTTCTGCTTTCTATTCTTCTGTTTGTTTCAAATAGAGAACTGTGATTTCTACCTAGAAATAGAAAAATTTTATTCCTTGAAAGATTTGTTGACCCTGCCCCATATAAGAGCACGGCTTGGCTTACTTCGACGACAACAAGATCTGAAAGCCATCGCTGTCTTCCAAGCTTTCTCAACCAACTCGGGCTTCTAAGAGGATGACTTACCTCCATCGGCAAAACTCAGGCCGCCGATAGCAAGTTCTCAACTCACTTGATTGAGACGTCCGAGAATGAGTTGGCCTTCTCAATTGTGGCACCACAGGAACTTTATTGCTCAGCGTCAATCCACGATAATGAAGGGAATCGGAAGAAAGAGAGGGGCGAGAGAGAAACTTTCGCATCTAGAAACATGGATGACAGGATGAGGAATGAAAAATCAATGCGGCAAAGCTAATCTCAGAGGTGAAAAGTAGAGACGAGAGCAGGGGATTGGCGATGAACAGCAAATCTAAACGAAAGCTCTCTGATGAACAGTGATGACCAGATTCTAGCCGATAAGTTGGGATCCGTTTTTGTTTTCTTTCTCTTAAAAAATATGATACCCAGGCCACAGCTCCTTGGAACATTTTCTCCGCATCATGGTGCCCGGTCAGCACACCACATAAGCAAATATAACGAAGTATGTGCCACATATGTCAAATTAACACCGTTAATTCCGATTCTAGATGTAAAATTCACTTTTACATTATAAAATAGATTTTATATTTAAGACATAAAAAGTAATATTTTTTTTGTACATTTAAAAGGACGTGAACTCTAGACTTTTACTTACACCCCATATCGGATTTTAAATGTCTAATGCTTTTGCTCAAGCTTACCTATGTCTAACTAAATCGTATCCTCTTTGGTTGGAAAGAAGATACTAAATCGAATCCTCCATAATTAATGCCAACGATTTCTTTTTTCTTTTCTTTTTTTTTCCCCAGAAAAGTGATTTCCTTATGATTAGATTAGATGAAGTTGTATCTCAGAACGAGAAGCGCTGAGTGGGCTCTTTTCTCTCTCTTAGTTTTCATGCCTAGTTAATTTCTGCGAATGGAAGATCTCGGTCACTGGAAAATTCCACCTGATTGTCCATCGGACGCCCTGACTCATGGAAGCAACAAGAAGACAAAGAATGTTGGAGCTGATTCAAATAGGAGCGATGAAAATATGGCTGATCTGATACGCAATGAAGAATAAGTGGAAACTCTAAATGCTATGGAACAAGATAGCGAAGGTAAGGGTGAATAGGGGAAAACAGAGGTCAAACAGCCATCATACCGAGATTCTCTCATTGGATTTAACAGGGTTGTAAATAGTGGCTATAGAATGGAAGAAGATGTGCTTCTTTCTAATGTACTTAACAGAGAGTGGGAACTACCGGAGCCTTCAATAGAAATCCAGGCGCTCATAGAGAAATGTCCTGTAGTTCCAATCACTCCCAAAGAGTATAGCGAATGGTGCAAGCTAGCCTTGGAATGTTGCTATTGTGCTCACGGTGTTGGGTAAGAGACATAGTGTTTATAATCTGAAAGACCACCTTGCGAGGATTTGGGGAATACCAGATTTTGAACTCATCGACATTCCCAATAACTACTTCACAGTTCGCTTCTTGTAGAAGGAGGGGTGGACAGAGAGGTACAAATGTGTTTTATACGAAGGACCATGGATGGTGCAATAACACTGTGTCTTGATTCAGCAGTGGACGCCGCACTTTGATCCTTTCAACAACCCGTTGAGGAGAATTGTCACCAAGGTCCGTGTTTCGAATATCCCAATGCATTGCTACAATAGGGACTTTATCTCCAGGCTTGGAGACCGCATAGGAAGGACATTAAAAGTGGATTTGAATACTTTGACAGATTTTACAGGAGGGCCTTCTAAGGTAGAAAGGGGGCGATACGCCTGTATATGTGTGGAACTCAATTAGCAGAAAAAACTAGTTTCAAGGGTGATAGCAGCTAATGCAACGTACTTAGTAGAATATGAAGGGCTCAAGCTTATATGCTTTAGTTGCGACAAATATGGTCATCGAAGGGAAAACTGCCCTTGGGTGTATGCCAATACCCAAAACAATGATGAAGACTCAATGGGTAAACAGGAACCTGTTAAAAACTTCAACTCGTCGGAGAAGAAAGATGTGAACACCGAAGAGGAATTTGGATAATGGATGATTGTAGGAAAAAACAACAAAGTTTGAGTCCCAAGGAAAGATTTGAAAAGAGAGATGAAAGAGGAGACTGGGAAAGGACTGAAACTTGTCAAGGGTCGAAAAATTGGAAGCGTCCAGATGAGATTTAGGGCGTTGGGAGAACTGGTAGAAGAGGAAGAGACAGTGTCAGAAGATAGGATGGCCAATGTGGAAGCAGACCTAGCCTGTGCAAAAGGAAATAATAAAAGTTTAGTGCCATTTGAGCCTAAGAAAAATCAAGTGTGTCAAAGGGAATTGGTGGCAAATGGCAAGAGATTTGAAAAAATTGCAGATGGCCAGAGAGGCAAAGAATTAGCCCTCCTTGTAGGAAAAGAGAACGTAGACCCTAACGGGCCAGGAAAACCAACAAGGGCCCAACTAAAAGACATGGCAAAAGAGACAAATGGATCCTCTTCCAAGGTCTTGCAGCAAAATGATAAAAGTGGCCGAAACACAGCAAGCCGACGCGAACATATTATTGTGAGGGGAATCTAAACAGTATGGGCCCTAACATAGCCAGACCACGTGCAGATGAAAGGCTTGCTACAAATAAAATAAAATTAAATCTTTTAGAGGATCCAGAGGGAATTCTTGATGGAAAAATAAATACAGTTTCTTCTTCCCATGATACTATACATGACAATAAAATCTTGGTGATGCATGATGATACGAAGGGAGATACTAATGTCGAACCAATGGAATAGGAAAGAATTGACATTGACTGCGGCAGAGATATTTCAGTTGATAAATCTCATATCATTTGTAAAATAATTACAATTTATTTGAATTAATTCAAACTAATTTAAATTTCAAGGTCAAACACTGATCCTAATTGATTAAATTAATAGCCAATAGTTAATTTATTTTTTCATTATTTTTAATTAATATTTTTTATGTAGGCTTTCTAAAAAATGTGCAAGACAGTAAAGTTCTACCATTCATAAGGGGAAAAAAAAGTTGTTTCATAGTTTTGCTTATCCATTTCATACTATTATTTTATTTAAATAAGTTAAATCCTCTTATTTAATAAAATTAAAAAATAAAAAGAAAAAGTGATATAAAAATTCATTACATGAATAAATATTTGTCATAATAAAAGTAGTTATTCTTATTAATTATGAATAAATTATATATTATTTATAAAAATTCATTACATGAGTAAGAAAATTCAAATTTAAACCAACATAATATTTTTTATTCTTATTAATTATGAATAAGTTATATATTATTTATTATTATATCTTTTTAAATTTTTAATTCAACTATATGATTTTGATTGGCTTATTATTCAAGAAGTTAAAAAAAAAAAGAGTTTTATTTTTTTTAAATGATGGACAAATAAATTAGTTAGTGTTACTTATTAATTGAATTGAATTGAATTAGTTAGAGTTGTTTCGTACTTTTGTAATTCCAATTAGTTTGAATTAATTTGAATAAACTTTAATTATTTTGTTAAAAAAAGAAAATTATAGGATGTGGTGAGAGATAATATATGAAATTTTGTTCAGGGTAAATTGGTAATTTTAGATTTATATTTAATATTTAGTCCTTCCAAATAAATACAACTTTTAATATCTTTCCCTGTAAATATTATTGCCTCTAGTTCCCTCTCCCTGATTTTCCCTAACTTAAATCATGTACGCATATCCAATATTTTGATTATTTGAATGATATAACTAATTAGATTAATTATTTAATTTATATTAGATACAATTAAATGAATGAAATTATCAAATATTTCGGGCCATAAAGGGCAGACCCGAAATTTAATAAAATTGAACTCGAAGGAGCATTTATATTATCTAAAATAAATTATCACAGGAACACTCATGCGCTTGGCGAATTACAGTGTTACACCTTATTTAAAAATTTAGTTTTCCAACTTAAAATATAAACATTTATATTATTTCATATAATATGATTGTACTGTACGATGAATTTGAAAGTTATTTTATGAAAATGTTCCCCCAAATACTTGTTTTTTTTTATTTTTTATTTTAAATTCATTCTTTAATTATTCTTGTTAAGCGCAAAACAATATCAGCCTATTTATACATCCAACCCTGAGTGGGTTCGCGCCCAGCGCCGTTGAGGAGTTGAGAGGAAAAAGCAAGAAGAAAGAAAAATGGCGTCTATCCTGTTGCGGCCCAGGCGACAGAGGAAGAAAAAGTTGTTTCGGAGGATGTCCAAGAAAAGGTAAAATATTTCCCTTGAGTATATTTTACCTCGCCTCTGTATTAGGTTTCTGGTTTCGTTTGGTCTTTCAAGATCGATTAGGAATACAGCTGTTTGAATTTTGAAATGAGATGTTGGATTTAGTTCCAGGATTAAAGAACTGCAGGCCTGGAATAAAGAATTAGATACAGAGTTGGAGAGGGGACTTAATGATTTGAATTCAACGGCTGAATTATTAGTTACTGCCATGGGGAAAATGAACGTGTTAATCCGAATGAAGGAAATAAAGAAAATGGTAGGGGATTACCTCAGCAATCTACGGAACAGCGAAGCTTTGATGGATCCGGTAATTAAAGATATTTATCTCGATCGTATTTTTCCTTTTAAACAAAGAACTACTAATTATAGTGCATCTTTTTTTAGGAAAATGCTCAAGCCGAGGATGCACTAGAGCAGAAAGAGGCCATGGTAAAAGGCTTGAAAGAACTCGAGTTAAAGAAGAAAAAGCTCGAAAGGGACATAGGGAAGGTTCTCAGGCGGTCAAAGACAAGAAAGAAGAGTCAGAGAGAAGAGTCAGAGACACGAGGCCTCCGTTTCAGTGCTAAGCTCCATTGGCTCTCATCTCGCTCCGTTTGCTCGTAGCTCCATTTCGTCATCACAGATTCGAAGGTAAGTGCATAAATCCTGGCTATTGTCCCCTTATTGCTCTCAATCAAGCTTATGCTTTGTTTTAAATCAATCTCCGTCAAGTTGCTCTGTTATAGGTTCTAAAATAAAGTGGCAAAAACAGAAAAGAAAGATCAATCATTAGAACTCTATTTGCTATACAATCAAGTTTGGAATTCTATTTGTTACCTGAAATCCTAATGGGCCTGACAATTTTGTAAATTGGAACTCTATTTGCTGTTTGATTCAAGTTTGGAACTTCATTTGCTATCTGATTCAATTTGGGAGTTCTATTTACTGTGTTGTATTTTAAAAATATTTTGACTAAAGTTAAATGTGCTTTGACTGAAATTAACCGTGATCATGATGTCAGCAAATTAGAATTACTTCTTCCTTGTATTCTAGGGATTTAAAATTATCAATTCCTCATCACATCAGAAGCCACACACACACACACACACATCTTGTGCAATTAGCCGCCCAAAATTTTATGTTTTTTCGGCACTCGTAACGTTCAGATTTGTGTCTGCATTTTCTTATCAGCTCCACAGTCAATTTTTTTTTTTAAAGAAAAGCACCATTTGAAAAATTTATATTCGGTTGAATATTGAGCTTATAAGTTTCAAACCAGCAAAGATTCTTGATCAACCAGAGACACAATTTTAATTGTGAAATGTGCTAATGTTCACAATTAGCTCCAAACTCACTGTCAAGCTTCAGCATAGTTGGAAAGAAATTTAGTTCAAGATCGTTTCTTATGTGCCCTTTCCCTGATCATTTCTCATCTTCCCTTTGCTTTATTGTGATTTCACTAATGTACAAGTCCTAGGCGGCGGAGACTCTAGCTAGACATATATTAGACCAAGCTTTAGTAGCACAAGCTTCAGATGAATTTTGCCCTCTATTTTGGAAATCCTGTATGTTTCATTGCTCAATTTGTGTTGCTGCAAATTGGAAAAATCATAGACATAGTAAACACTCTAATCTCATTAGATATTAGCATTACTTGAAACTATACAGTATCGCATGCATTCCTATAAAGTGGCTAAACAAAGGACACAAATTTTATATTACTTGATGGGAATTGACAAACAAAAAGTATAGTGAAGGATAGAAATTGATTTGTTTAAATATTGATTTGCATGTAGGTTACAAGTAGAGGATTGAAGCAAAGCAAATCCTACGAAGAGTTGTTTTTTGAGCTATGCAAAAGCCAAAATATCACTCCCCAAGAGCCAAAAAGAGCCCGCTGTTTTATTTTACTATCCTGTATAAAAAAGAAATTATGTATATAGCTAGGTATGCCATAAGTCACCTGTGTAAAGAGGATGAAATGTATAAAGATTGGATCTGTATCCGAAAGGACTTGTATAAGACCATCTATTTTTCTATTCGTTACCTTTGTGTATAGTTCATAAGATCCATGGCTTCAAGTAATGGAATTTCTTTGCCTTGTGCCTACATTGACAAGTAATAGTTTTTTTATACATAAATTAAAAGTACAACATTTCTTCTTTGTTTGTCGATTCTTTTCTTCCCACCCTTCCCAATGTCTCTTCCGTGATTTTTCATCTCTTTCTTTGAATCCCTTTAGCATATTTTATGGCTATAAGATTGGTTGAGAAGTATCATTTTCATTTCCATTTGGAATCTTATTTTCTAACTTAATGATATATCTTTCAACACAAGTAAATGCCTCATCAGTATTGGTAGCTCTTGTCACCAATCTTACCATTCTACTCACCAGATGTCTGAACTTCCATGTTATGTCAAGTTTAGGATATGTTTCTATCTCATTTCCTTTGACATCATGTTCAACCCCATTCTTTGCTTCCTTGGTCCATCGCCTTAGAATACATTGTTTAGGCAGAACTCTTACATCTTTGCTTCCTTGTTGCTGAGGCTTCTCACTGTATTATTGTTATTATTTTTGGTCCAGACTACTTTTATCGAGCAATTAATCGAGGTAGTTTTGAAGGAATGATATTTTAGAAAAAAGTGATCTTGGATGGAATGACTAGTTCATTGATACATAGATGCAATTCAACATTCGATCAGAAAATAGCTTGATTATCAAAAACAAAATAATGTGTTGAAGAAAGTATTAACATAATGATGGATAGATCATAGATATTCTATAAACAACGAGAACTGACAATATTAACCTCATTGATTGATGTCAACATAGAATATAAATTAAAATTTATAATAAGTCATGCTATTCATAAATTAAAAGCACAAAGATTAAGGTTTTAACAATCTAATTATGACAAACTAAAATATCCACAATATATTCAATTACATAGTGAAATTTATGATCAAATTTTAAGAGCTTATGAATGGAGTTTATGAGCTTTTTACTAAATTATAAAGTTTCAGAATATCTGTAATTCTAGATGAATTTGTAGTTATTTCCCTGCCCTTCACAATTACTTCTTGAAATGTGATAGTAGGGCTAATGAAATTTGAGATTGAGTAACTTTGTTCTTTCAAAAACTTACAACTTCCAAAGATCATCTAACTCCGAACTTTTTAATATTTACGTTGTTTAAATATAACTATGCATAACTTTTGTTGCATTACACAGAATTTAATAAATCATATACTTTTCATGTCTTGGAAATAACGTGTCTCATTATAAATTTTATATTTTATACTAAATACTGGTTTTCTTTACCTACATGAGAAGTGAGAACAAACCTCGTAGGATCAGCCGGTTATTAAATAAATCGTAAGACAAAACAAAAAATTGATGAAGTTAATGGATTTTTATCATTTTAAGTTGATTGAGATTTCAAAATGACATTAAGTCATTGACAAAGGGTTTGGTTTCTTTTAAGGATAAGGTGTTAAAATGACCTGAAAATATTCACAGACCCGAAATTTTTTGTTTTTTTAACTCAAATATGCCATGGAAGTATAATTTCATAGCAATTTCGTTCTGATTAACCACCATTTATGTTGACTATTAATTTTGACTACAATTGCTCACATGACAGCCATATGCATTTTGACTTGTACACCTCATCATTACAACTCATCGTCTCTCCCTTTCTCTCTCCCTCATTCACTCTTTCTTCGAAACAAAAAAATTCCTTCTTTTCGATCCCTCCTAACCCACAACCATAGAAGATGTTTGTTGGGCAAAGCTCATGCGCTCTCTACCTCAGGTCTTGATAATGGTTCGGGGTTGAGACAACAATGAGGAACCCTAGAACGAATGACGAAAGCACGCCTTGTTGCTCGTAGCCCTACTCCTTCGCTGATTTGTTCAAAAGCTTCACGAAGACCCAGTGGTTCAAAAGCTCTGAGCTGACCACGAATCTCTCCATCCTGTTGCCTACATAGATCGGTGCGTGACCTTTCGGCACCATATGCGATCGTTGAAGCTTTAAAGACGCCACCGGTCGGAGACAGTTATAGGTGCGGCTGCTGATTATGCAACTCGAATCAGAGCAGAGTGTACTGATGAGACAAATCAACAAATTGGATATAGTTTCGTTGAGTGAAGAAGCCAATACTTGGGTTGCATTTTGGTTTGATTTCTATTAGGGAAGATGTGTTCCAATTTTACTGATTGTTTGAGCCCCCTCTTCTTCTTCTTCTTCTTATTTTTTTTGGTGAATATTGTTTGAGCTTTGGTTCATCTAGTTTTATAGCGATTAAATGGGGTTTCGATTCATTCGGGGGATTAATTTGGGTTTCAATTAATCGGCTAAATTTGTCGTTAGTGTACATCTCTATAGGTAGTTCATTTTCCATGTCTCGTTCCCAGATGGAAGAGCTTGCTTCGGCTCGGCTCTGAAAACCAGTGGGATTCGTTTTTTGTGGGCATGTCATTCAGACGCAGAGATGCCACAAGAGAAATGTGGGAATAATGGTCTGGAAGTGCCATGGTGAGACCAATTGAAGAGGACTTCGTAACGAAAGAAGAAATACTCAATATGCTTGAGATGGTAATAATGGATGTTGAGAATGAGAAAGAGAAGAAGATTAGTGAAAAAGCAAAAGAACTGAAGGTGTTTTTTCGCGGATCGATTGCCAAAGTTCGCTTGTCGGACATGAACATGGATGCTTTTGTGGCAGACACGTTTTAGGTGATGAGGTATCTTTTTTTTTTAATATTTTGTCAGGTGTAATATTAAGTTCCATGTGGTGATGAGTTTGGCATTTTTAGTGCCATGTGGGATTGCCACATGTATTTAAAAGTCAAAGCTAATGGTTGAAAAAGGATTTGGGTAAAAATGCTATGAAATTATACTTCCAAGACATACTTGAGTCAAGAAAACTTCCGAGTGCTAAACCCTCCGATGTAAATATTTTTGGAGTGTTTTATCACCTTATCCCTTTGTTTTATATATTACTCTCTCTTTATAATATCCACCAATTAATCTCCAGATCACATTGAGCTTGGAAGTGGTACAAAATCAAAGATTTTCATTAGTTGGTGCTAGAGATTATATTAGAATTATTTATATGGTTATTAAGATATTAACACAATTAAACTTGAATTTTGAACGTGTTTCAGTGTGATCAAGACTTGGTAATAAAAAAAAAAAAACTAAATCTCATATTGAGTGGTATGCGGAGTTGGAAGTTAATTTTTGGGGTGAAATTTCCTATTCTATTTAGACAAGTCATGAATAAAAAAGAAGAAATTATCATAACCTTTGGAGCGTGGAAGTTATTGTAATAATTTTTTGCTTGAGATTTATATCATATAGAGCTGGAAGTGGGATAAAATCAATTTAACCACTGCATTTCGCCCCACAAGTCGGCCAATTAACAAAGAGATGAGATGAAGAACGAGTGAGAAGAAGAGAAAGGAGGAAAATCAAGAGGAAAATAAGTAAGTTTAGGTTTTTAATCCATTACTCTGTCTAGCTTTACTCTCTAAACTCATATATGGTTCCGTAATCTCTCTTGATGTTGTGTTTTAGCAAGACGAGAAGTTGAAGCCTAGGGTTTTAAGAGAGGAATAAGTCTCAAGGGAATCAAGCTTGAAGCCAAGTTGAGCGATAATTATAGATGTTGTTGACAATTCCTACAATTACGCTTGAGATTTTGGAATTTTCGGGAGTAAGAAAGTGAGTGGGATATGCTGTCAATTTTTTTATAAAATAGGTTTTTTTTTACCATGATATAGATTATTTTAATATTGTATATATAGTTTGTATTTAGGTAATTTCATAATTATAATTTGAAATATATAAAATTTCAAAATATAAAATCATACCCCGCGTGACAGATGATTTGTTATAATCTAAAATCTAGAGTCAAGAATAAATTCAAATAGCAAACATCTATAGTGAATTAGGAAGTGACCGATTTTTCCCCTAAAGTTTCAAATTTGAAAATATTAGGTATTTTCAAACTTCAAATTGTGTAAAATAAGAATTTATGGCCCATATGAATGGACTACTCACTGCAAAATGTTTGAAAATTTATGAGATTATCTAAACCCAAACCGATTTCCAGTTTCCTATGAATTTATTTTAGATTTTTAGATTTGAGACTTGAAATATTGAATTATTTTAATATTTATACATTTTTTGCCAACAACATTTATACATATATACTTTAGATTTGTGGTTATTGTCGAAGACTATTTGAAATTTAAATTATGGATTATTTCATTTTGACCAGATATAAATTATTTTATTATATATATGGTTTGCATTTAGGTTAACTGATGATTATAATTTAAACGGATATATGTTAAATTTTACTTCAGAAGGTTTTTGCTTATATATATGGACCGACAAAGGATTGGAGAAAAGAAGGCCTGACTTTCCATTGTGAATCAATGGCCATAACACAAGACAACTTCATAATTAAGGTGGAAAAATCTGACATTAAAGAGAGTAGAGAAAGGAAACAAAGTGGAAAACTTGTCCAAAATAGTCACGATCATTACGTACGTAAATGCCAATCACAAAAGATGGATGTAAAACTTAACGTAAACTAAGATAATAAGGTCTAATATGATCCATTAGTGCGAACAAAGTGCTTAGTTTTTCTTCCAATTTCTTCAATTTCTTTTTATATTCCTCGGTGATGGCGTTTTCACGATCAATCCATTTTCTGATTGCTCCATCCTATAAAATGAATCCAATTCAAAATAAGCATTTATATTTTCTGAAATCAACCATCATAATAGAAAGATGATAGTGCCTTGGACGGAAGAAAAAATAAATGCAAACCTCAGATTCTCTGGCTGTCTTCTTTTTTCTCATTCTACGCCTC